GGACCAGGCTGCAATGCCGACAGGTAGGATCCCTGCTGTTGTCTCGCAACCAGAAATGTGTGCCTAAGGGGCAGGCGCATTGCGCATCTGCGTCACTAAACTCTGCTGTCTGTGGCCTAACCCCCACCATTGGTCTTTGTTGTTAGGAGTGGGCAAATTTGAAAAGACGCCTCTGGCGGTCATGTTGTCTGCCCATTGCCCGTACCACTTCGTCCTGAAGTGGTGTGCCAGCCAGTTTTTTATTCCCAAATAAGTTATTGGTACTTCTGACTGAAGCTGTGTAGCCCCTGTTTGGCCAGAGTGTCCGCTTTTTCATTGCCACTGACGTTGAGGTGATCTGAGATCCATTGGACTGTCACCTTGCCTCCGAGTTCACAGATTTTGCACACGTCATCAATGATGACGTCAACTAGGTGAGTGGAACCTGATCTCTTTGCCAAGATCTTGAGAGCAGATCTTGAGTCGGAATAAACGATTACATCGAGTACCGCAAGCTCCACCCTTTTCAACGTGTGATACACTCTCTCTCTAGGGCCCTGTGAATAGCGTCGAGCTCCGCATTAAAGTTCGATTCTTTAGTCCCACAGGACCCCAAGAGTTGTTCATTTGGTTGTCCCCTTATTGAATACAGTATGAAAGCACCGTACCCAGCATTTCTTTCTCTCAATTTGGCAGAGCCGTCCTTGAACACTTTCACAGTTATGTTAGAATACGTAGCCATGGTCTCAAGGGTAGCAACTTTTTGAAAAATTCAGGGTTGCGCTTCGTCACTGCTGCATCGGTCAAGGCCAAATGTATGGAGGGACGTGAGGGTTCCGCGTTTGATTGATTGACTAGGTTTAGGGTCACGCGTTCTTTATAGCGCGGTGGTCGACTCTCCTCTCAAACTCCACGACCTGGTGCATGAATGAGGACCCCTTTAGTCACTTGCCCACCGCCTAGTTATTCTGCATTTGGAACGACAGTTACTTCTCGTTCAGCCGTCACTACCTCTCTACGGTACTTAGTATTGCTTTTTTTCTCCCCTATATTTAACGGTTCTACATTGACCAAGACCTCTACAGCAGCTATGGGTGTGGAACTGAATGCCCCACAGATGAATCTCAGAGCCTGAGTCTCGATTCGGTTCAACATTTCCAATACAGTATTGCTTCCAAGGGATTGAATGGTCATGCTGTAATCCATTACACTGCCTACAAATAGATCTCTAAGCGTTCTTTCGCCCACGCCCCAAATCGTACAAGCCAATTGTTTACCAGATTTAGCTTGGTGGTTGCCTGGGAGCAGAGGTCAGGTTCAAAATTGTGAATTTGCACCTTTTGATCCAATTTGATCCCCAGGTAAACCGGTTGCTTGTTCCATTTGAGCGCTACATCGCTCACCTTGAGCTCGATCACCTGTTTGAGAATGATCCGCCAGTTGGTAAATAGTGAGGTGACCGTCTTGTCGGTTGTTAATTTCCAGATGCCACCACCGCATGTACCTGTTGATCTTAGCGAGGTCTTGCTGTAAATAGTATTTGCAGGCGGTGGACATCTTAACCAGTTTTCTAGACAATAAAATCGTCAATATACAACGCAGAATTAGTTGCTAAATTGTGAGGCAAGTCATTGATGTAGACTAGGAAATTAGTGCATCTAAGGGCTGACTCTCGGGGAGTCCTTATTCAAGGGTTCTTTTCCTGGAGGTTTTGCGGCCGAATTTTGTGCTGATTGTCCGGTTTGTAAGAAAACCAGCAACCCACCTTTACATGTTGGCAGTTACTCCCGGTCATAGGCCTGTCGGAGGTAAAAAAAAATATATAGCCACTGTATGACACTTTTTCTGGAGAAGACATAGCACCTGATCCACTGGCTGCATTTCCTTTCGGAAGCCCGTCTGGATTGGGCTAAAGCTCTCGGTACTCTCCAGGTTCCAGTAGAGCCTCTGGTTAACTAATCTCTCGGTCACCTTCGCTAGACACAATGTGAGGGAGATCAGGCGGTAGCCGGTCGGGAGATAGAGTTTCTTCCCTTCTTTGGGAATAGGGACGATGGTAGCGCTAAGCCAACCTCTGGGTAGGATTCGTGTTCGCAATATCTGTTAATGATTGACAATAGTTGTGTCCTAGCTATCGAGCTAAAGGTTTTGATCCTTTCATTGCAGATCTTGTCCGGACCTAACGTCTTGGCGGCGTTGCAGTTATCGATGGAGGTTTCCAACTCAGTCATAGTGAAAGGTGCGGTAAAGACCCCATCATGTGGTCACCACCGTTGGGCCACGTCTCCATACTGCCGGGAACGGTTAAGGTTCTGGATATCTCTGGACGTTTTCTGCTTCCGGTTAATCCTTGCAAAATGCTTATTTAAAGCCTGGGGCACTTTTGGCTACTGTGGTAGTCGAGCATGTTGTATTTTGCAAAGGACGCAGATTGCGGACTTTTCCATACAGGATATTGAGTCCATTAATCGCGCAGATATTTTTTCGTATTTCAGGTCGAGTTTTGCACATGTCTCCACCCATTTTCCTTCTTCGCCATATCGACAACCTTTCGGACTTCAGCCATTAGTGTGTTGTAAGCTGCGCGCGCAGCGGCCGTCTTCAACTTTCCGGCTTTAGTCCGTGCTCTCTTCCGTTCAAGAACCATCTCCGCAAACTACTTGTTCTACAAGGGGCGGACTTTGCGGTTCCCGTTCGTTCAAGGGATGGTTATCCTAGCTACTGTGAGAATACCACTCACGAAATTGCTGTGTGCAGCGTCGATGATTTTGGAGGCATCGGGAATCCCAGATAATTCCGCGATCAGGCTCTCTATTCTTTCACGGAAATGCGCCCACTTGGCTTTGCTTAACAGCCAGGGTCTCCTAGCAAACTTTGGTTTTTCAAGCGCAAGATCGATTGTGATAAGGGGCGGTCGATGGTCACTGCAAACCTCATCTAAAATTTTGCACTGAATCTTTGCTTCGAGTTCAGCCGAGACCAGTGTTGCATCGGGGTGAGACATGACACTATTGCCAGTAGGGAGCAGTGGGGGCTCACTGTCACCATGTTGCAGCCTAATGAGGTTGGTCGTGAGCTCGACCTCTTCTAAATAGCGCCCTGAGGCGTTTGTATTGGGAGATCCCTTATCCCAAATCCCCCATATGGGCGTTAAAATTCCCTGTTAAAATTCTATCTGTAAAGAGGGTTTTGCACTGCACAGGCGGCATGATGTTTTTTTAGGTGTATTATAAAAATTACGTATTTAAAAAAAACAAAAAAACTTAAACCTACCCTCGGAATCAGAGCATCTTTCCCAAAAATGTTTCTGCGCTAACCAGCTCCGCTGTGAGGGGGATTCGAACAAGTGTTACTAGCCCTCGGAACTTTACGCACGTGCAGCGGTATACTGAAAAGCCCGTGATGTGCAATGGGGGTTTCTTCCAGTGACGTATCCTGAAATAGAGCTACGACCACTTCCCGGCTGTGGTGTAGTTTGGTGAGTTCAGGGATTATCCCACTGACCCCTTTGCAGTTAAGCTGCATAATTACTAAGGTTGTGGGGGAGGTGACCAGCGGCATCTTGCCTGTCGCTTCAAGTAGCACCTGCACCTACAGTCGGCCTGAGCCCAGTTACCGATCTGCAGGGGAGGAGGGGATTCAAGTTCAACCCGCTTAGATTAATACCGATTTTACTAGCCATATAATTGAATAATGTCTAGGCTCTATTTTTCTACCTTCTCACGTGGAGAAACTACCAAAGTAATCTCTCTCCTTCACCTTGGGAGACAGACGTATTGACGTGAGTTTTTTTTATTTTCGGTTAGTCTGCTCTACCGTACTGGTCAGTCGCACCACTTAGAGACAAAACACTTGCGGGAATCGTCGAGACGGAACTTTAACGCAACACATAACTAAAAAAATCGAAGCACGTCAAATCAGATAATTATAAGGTAATATTTCTTACTAAAATCTTACACAGGAAATTTCTTTATCTAGATTATATTTATCTAAAAACACATGAAAATTAAATATAATAAACCTAGCCTATTATGGGTGAAATAATCTGAGCACAAAATATAGCTAGCCAGTGCCAGGCTGGCTGCACACATTAGGGGTAGAGTAAAGCGGGCACTGTAGTGGCCTGGAGTATAAAGCTTAGGCTAGGCATATGAACGCATCCCAAAGGGTCTTTGTTTCCATTAGGTCAAGGTTTCCATTTTTAAGGCCAGCCCTAATTGAACCATGTCACGAGAGGTAAAGATGGAGAGATGGTGAGTTTCAATAAGTGAGGACCAGTGAATCGCAACAGAAAGGAAGAGAGGAAAAGTATGTCCCCAGCGAAAACCCTTTTTTCCCCATAAACATTTCTCTGTTCAGATCATATGGTATTTAATATATATATATATATATATATATATATTTTTTTATATATATATATTTTTTTTTTTATATATATAAATATTTTTTTATATATATATTTTTTTTATATATAATATATGTTTTTTATATATATAAATATATATATATATATATACATATATATATATATATATATTTAATTTATCGTTTAGAAATGTTTTCTTTATATGCAAAAGAGTAAGTCTATATAAGATCTTGAGTCTGGAGAAATAAATTACGAGCCATTTACTTATAAGGGTAAAATCCTCTTGTAATTTTTAAAAAGTGTCAATTTTTTTGAACAGGTTTTCAATTATATTGACTCAATGGATGCAAGGACAGAAAGTTCAAACATGTTCAACCATACCAAAGTAGCACTGCCAAGCTTCTTCACAGCATGTGCCAATGGACTACAGACCGTGGTGAAGTCACTCATTAAAAGTGGAATAGATATTAACGAAAAACACTGCGGAAAATCACCACTGTTCATAGCAGCAGAACATGGGCAGACGGATGTAGCTCTTTACCTCATTGAAAACTGAGCAAATATAAACGAAGTAGACTCTGATGGAAATACCGCTTTAATGAACGCCGCGTTCTACGGCCACGGACACACAGTTGAAAGGTTGATCGAAAGAGGATATGACGTGAATGCCAAAGATAATCGTGGCATGACTTCTCTGATGTTAGCCGTGGTTAAGAGAGACGTTGACATACTGAACATGCTGATCAGCCTTGGTGCCAATGTGAATGAGAAACAACACGAGAAAAGTGGCGACTCTGCGCTGATATTAGCCGCACGTAAGGGAGACATAGCCATTGTTGAAAAGCTTTTGGACATGGGGGCCGAGTTCAATGATCAAAATACTTTAGGTCGAACAGCTTTGATGACTGCCGTAGAGCATAACAATACCGTTATTGCTGAATCGCTAATAAACAGAGGTGCTAAAGTAAACGAAAAAGACAGTAATGGACGAACGGCACTAATGTCGGCTGTTTATATTCATGACACAGATATGTGCGAAATGTTAATAGGATATAGAGCTAATGTAAATGACATGGATAACGACGGCATCACTCCCCTTTTGCACGCTTTGAAGGCAAACAGAATAGAAAATATTAAACTACTTATTGAAAATGGAGCGAATGTAAGCGATGTGGACAATCAGAAAAACACAGCCTTTATGTACGCCACAAAGGCAGGAAGCACAAAAGCTATTAAAATCCTGTTGGAGAAAGGAGTAGACGTCGATGAGACAAATGACGACGGTGCGACCTCTCTTATCATCGCATCGCAAAAAATGGACGGCACAAGTGTTGAATTTCTGCTTAAAGAAGGCGCGAGCGTCAATGCCAAGACAAATGACGGAAGAACGGCATTGATGGAAGCGGTGTCCAGCACACGCAAATGCCCACCTTCTTTACTCGAAATGCTGATACTCCACGGAGGTGACGTAAACGGAAAAGACAACGACGGATTCACCGTATTAATGCTGGCCGTACGCGCGGGACATATTGAAAACGTCAGGACGTTAATCGAGGGAGGAGCAAACATTCACGAGAAATTAAATGGCCATGGGAACGCTTTAGTGTTGGCAATACTGGAAAACAAGAAAGACATTGTTCAGCTGCTCATTGAAAACGGAGCAAAAGATGACGTTGATGAAGACGTATTTATGATTGATGACGCAGAGCCAGAGTCAAGCCTAGACGCCGATCTTAGCTGGTCGGCAAATAGAGAAGGGACAGAGGGCAGTGTCGATAACGAACACCATGAGGCATCAATGTCTGGATGCGATAAAGGAGACGAAACATTAAATCACATTGACAAGCTGCTCACATCGGGACTTGCAGGTGAGGGAATGCAGAATTTTGGAAAAGGTCGCAAAATTTGTGAAGATGCGGCGTTTGATGGTCTCCACAAAACCGATACTAAAAAAAACATGGTGAATTTCTTTAACGCAAATCGGAACACAAACACATCATCACATAAAGCAAGGCACGAGAAGAATGCCTTCAAAAGACTACGCCAACAATTGATTTTTTCCATTACTAAAGTAATACGGAATCGTAACAAAGATAGGCACACCGGAGCTAAAAGTCAGGACCATATTCGCAACCACTTGAGATTTGAAGAAAAAATTCCGATACCTGTCAACTCCTGTAAAGTCTTTGATAGTCTAAAGTAAGTACAGGTACCCAATTTGATATTTTTTTGTATTTTAATCTAGTAATTTAAATGTCCCATTACCAACGTAATGTTTGAAGAAAAAAAAAGAGAGAAAAATGTAAAAAAATACTTATGATTGATGGACTGCAATAAAGGTGTGTAAATGAAATAGTAGAGCAATGTATGTTAAGCTTAAATGAGAACACAGGACATTACGATTTGAAAGTTTTGGCTTAGATCTTCAGCAAATAATACATATAAGGGTAAGACATGTAACAGAGCACCGTAAAAAAACGTAAGAGATCTCCTTCGTTTTTGCCGGAAGTTTGTATGTATGGCATCTTTCCATCTTCAAGAGACGATAGATTATCTTTATTGCTTGCAGCTCTTGGTGTGGCTGGTGACACCAATCCTCGAATGGTAGTCTCTGTTACATTTCCCACACAAGAATGAGGTGGAGCAGTATTTACTGGCCTTCCTCCTCGCTCTTTTTGCAGCTGTTTCCACCCTGTTTTGGTCCTCGGCATGTAGTCATCCTGCCTTCACGATGCCCCGCCATGAGGATTGATCCTCTGCCAGCTCCTCCCTGTTTGAGATGTCGATGTTGGCTGACTTCATGTCTCTTTTGCATATGTCTTAGTATCTCAGACGAGGCCGTCCAACAGACCTTTTCCCTGTCGCCAGCTCGTTGTTTAGCAACGACCAGGTATGCGTTTCGCTTGACGTGTCCAAGCCGGCGGAGGCGTCTTTGGATTAACATGGCTGGGACGCTACACATGTTTGTTTGGGACAGGACATCCGTGTTGGGGACTTTGTCTTGCCATTTAATGTCAAGGATGTGGCGCAGGCATCTGAGGTGGAAGCCATTGAGCCTTCTTTCGTGGTTCGAGTATGTGGTCCACGACTCGCATCCATCCAGGAGTGTGCTCAGTACGCAGGCCTGGTACACCTGCAGCTTAGTTCTTGTTGTGAAGTAGGATTACAGGAAATGAAAGAATATAAATATTGGTACTGTGAAAAATAAGGTAGAGAATCTTAACGGACCAAAATATTTAGTGATACATACAATTTTAAGGAGTAAGAATTTTTTTATTTTTTTTTACATTTTAACTCTCTCTGATGTGTTTTTTACAATAACTTAGTGCTAAAATGGATACACCTAATGCAACATTATGTTGCTCTTGTGTTGAACTGTGGAGAAAGGGGGTAAAGTTTACCTTGTTCAATATCCCGAAGTTGTTCTGTGAGCCTATCTGCCAAAGTTAAAATGATAAATGGACTCACATGTTCAAGATCTAAATGTGGTATCCAGCGTAAACATGTTAAGCAAAGAATTAGAAGCATTTAGCAATTGGGACTTTTTTAAAAAAAAATGAATGTAAAGCCATAGCCAGGTCACTTTTTATACAAGTATTTGAAATATATTTCTAAAAAAAAAAAATCTTTGTCTTAACTTGTAATTATTGCAATCGTTTTTACTGAAAGAGCATCCACTGTAGAATATCCCTATCAGTGGCGTTGCTAGGGTTGGTGTCACCCGGGGGCGGTAAACTCATGGTGTCACCCCCGTCCTCTTGACTTCCAAGAAAGATATCTCTTTGTTAAACCAAGTCCACTCTATAACAATGCCAAGAATAAAAAAAAGATATTAACTGAAGGTCAGGCGGTCAATGTATTAAAGAACAATAACAACGTCAAGTTATAGTTATTTTTACATCAACTTACTTTTAAATGTTCATTTCCTGGACTTCAAAGCTGCAACCTGTTCAAGAACATGTTTAAAATCAATATCATTCATCGTATTATGTTCAAGTGATAGTAGATCCAGATCAGAAAACCTTGACAGTCCCATTGTGGATCGTAAATAGTTCATGATAAGTCTTTTTTTTTTTTCAAAAGCTCCGTTCACATGAAGCTACAGACACATATCGTAGGAAACATTTGAAAGGTCTGCGACAGTTTTGGAAGAGATTCTAGGAAGTCCCATTCAGCTATGAATTTCAACACATCAGAAACTGACCAGTCCATGACTTTGTGAAAATCCTTATCAGCTGCCTTTAGTTGTCTTTTAAGCCTTGCTATATCTTTTAAAAGAGAGAGAGGTTAATTTTGGAACGGAGACCAAAAACTCTTCTTCACTGGCTGATAGGAGACTCTGGTTGTACAGAGTCAAACATATCTGCTGCTTCCTTGATCGTTGATAATCTGATCTGGAGTTCAGAATCAAAGCGATTAATACACACAGTTTTCCTGTCACAGAGAGAGTCCAGTCTATTAATTGTTCTCCTGCTATTTTCTTCCTAAACCTTTATCTTCTCTCCACCGAAATTCCATATTGGTCTAATTTTTAAAGTTATTTTTCAATAGCATGTTCCACAAAGTTGCAGCACTTCTTGAGCAGAAACAATCTCAAGGCCTCTATGTTGGTCACCTGGTTAAGAGTAAAGCTTTTAGTCTGTGTAAATTTAACTCCCTTAAGTAGATTAGCCAAAAGTTAAAGGTAGCAGATAAACGTGAAAACACGGTCGCCATGTAAAAGACCTTGTGCTGTACCTCTTGTATCCAAATTTTCAAGAGGATCATATACAGCGTCAATCATCGCCACACATTCATCAAACCCATCTTTCACTGTTTTAACAGCCGCTCGAGGGGCAATCCAGCGTGTGCTGAGTCGTTTCACCGACATTCTAATGTGTTCAATTAAATATCCCATCCATGTGTGGCTGCTGCAAAGAAGCAAAATATTCTCTAAAGGGTACTGAAAAATGTAATACATAAAGCTTTTTTCAGCAAAGGAGTGTGGACGACACACGTTAAGCGAATGGCCCACTTCCGTTAAGAATCGCTTTCTTATTTTTATTTCTTTTAACAAGGGTCTGAACGCTCCAATGGATTACATACCCTTTGACAGCATTATCGTAACCTTGTGCTCTACAAATCATATGGCTAGTCTATCACGTTTTAGATCTGTAAGAATGCCTAAAAACTAAGCTCATGAACATTTTTTTTCTCCCCAAAAGGAAACAATTCAAAGAGCACTTCCCACTCTTCAATTTTCACAGTGATGGTTTTCACATATTTATTTATTTATTTATTTAGGCATTTTTATATAGCGCTTATCATAAAGCTCTAAGCGCTTTACAATTATTAAAACATGTAAACTAAGTAAATACAAATGAGACACTAGGATAGTAACTACTATTCTATAGAAACAATGAAAATGGCTATAAAAAGAGGACACTTTGACACTTCAGGATTAAACCGAAACAGAAAATGAGGTAGGGCAAGGAGGGTGCATCACAGGTCATAGGCGGACCTAAACAGATGAGTTTTAAGGGACTTTTTGAAAATGGACGAGGTTTCACTATGACGTATATGGAAGGGGAGCTGGTTCCAGAACGTGGGCCCATGGAAGCAGAAGGAGCGTTCACCGATGGTCTTAGTTTTAGTTCTTGGGATTGAGAGGGTTCTACTGTCAATGGAAGAACGTAGTTGTCTTGTGGGGATGTAAGGAAGCAACAGTTCAGAGAGATAGACAGGAAAGTGAGGGTCAGTGAACGAGTTGAAGCAAAGATTGGCAGACTTGTATTTGATGCGAGAGGATATTGGATCACTTCAGTGATGGCGTCAGTGTGTGATATATCAGGTTTACTGTCCAACATAATTCCAAATCACCTCACAGCCTTTATATCCATGATAAGAATCTTTTTCCACTTGATTTACAAATACATTTTAAAATTTATTTTTGGGGGGTTTCTGATGAAACGTAAGATGCGGATGCTTTTAATGTAGATGTACTCCTCTTAATTCTCATTTTGGATCCTTTTTTAGCACTGGGTCATATGTAGATAGCATCTCTACCATCTTAAGAACCTTTCCACTATTCAATGAAAATTCATCTTAGTTGTAGCCACGAAATGCCAGATGTGTCTT